CCAACAGATGCATGCAACTGTTTGGCTCCTGACCAAGTGCGGGTGGGTTTTGCAGCGCTGAGTGCAGACACGGTAATTATAACCAGTTCTCTGTACTGGAGGAAGGGCTGGACCCCCGGCTTTAGACCCGACTCCTCTGCTGACTTGTATGACGGCACCCCTCCTCTGAGCCTCTTTTCCCGCCTAGAACAGGCATCTCACTCATCTTTCCTTCGTGCCCCATCAGGCCAGGGCACAGGGTACCTAAGACTTTTGAGATGGGAGCCAGAGGGCTTCTCCATGCTGCCCGCACGCACATCCGGCGTCCTGATTTGTGCACCGCACGGTTCGAGCCCCTGCCCGTCTTTTGCATCGGCACAGAGGCCCTCTGGGACTGCTGCTGCCCTTGTCTGCTACCCCGTACAGCCGCTGTGCTGTGGGTCATGCTGGGCTCCAGGGTCTCCAGGGGTGCCATACATCAGCCCCTTCCTCGCTGGGATCTTGGTTTCTCCTTCAGTTCAAGGCTCCAGGCAGTGGGAGGGTTTGAGCACAGGCCTCTGGAAGGATTGGAATAACTGAGTCGCAGGGGGGCAGGAGGCTAGGCGGGTGGCCAGGAGATGCACCCTGAGGTCCAGCCCAGCTGGAGCTGGGGGCTGGTCGCATGACCATTCAGAGAGTGTGGGAACAGAATGGTTCTCTGGTGTGTGTTGGGGCCACGCTCTCATGTGTTGGTGGAGAGACCCAGGCTCTGAGGGATGGAGACGGGTGCTGGGGGAGGCTGAGCCTGAGTTCGGGCTCACATCCCTCTGCCTCCCGATCCTTTTGAGCTGGGGCCTGGGCTAAGAGAGCAGAGGGCACTCTGCCTTCAGCTTCCTGTGTGACCCTGGGCCTCAGTTTCCTTAGCTGTACCCTCAGAGGTTTGGACGAGGTGAATGTTGGTCCCTTTCGGCCTTTGCATTTGGAGGTTCTCTGAGTACAGGTGTGAAATAGAAACGATCCCACTTTGCTAGCTGTGCGATCTTGGGTAATGCTCTTGGACTTGAACTTCTTCATCAGTAACATGGAGATCATAACTGTACCTAGGGGCGCCTGAGTGGCTCTGTCGGTTAAGTGTCCGACTTCGGCTCAGGTCATGATCTCACGGTTCGTGAGTTCGAGCCCCACGTCGGGCTCTGGGCTGACAGCTCGGAGCTTGGAGCCCGCTTCGGATTCTGTGTCTCCCTCTCTCTGACCCTCCCCCATTCATGCTCTGTCTC